TGTAGGAAAGGCCAATTTTGACAACAAAAATAGGTTAAGAAGTTTGGTAGGGACTGACAGTATAATAAATGTGTATTATTACTTTTTAAAAAACATTTATTTATTAGAAAGAGAGAGAGAGGGAGGGTGGGTGTCGGGGATGAGGGGCAGAGGGCAAGAAAGAATCCCAAGCAGAACCCCTACAGACCTCGGAACCCAACATGGGGCTCAATCTCATGATCCTGGGATTACAACCCTGAGATCAAGACCTGCACCAAAACCAAGAATTGAACACTTAACCGACTGTGCCACCCAGGTACCCCATAAATGTGTTCAGAAGATCCATGAGAGCCACAGCAAAATAGATCCATGTGAGAAAAGAGCCAGGGTGGTGAGAAGTGGTTAAGGAGGGGATTTAGCTCAGAAGAGGAGGTAAAACAGGGAGACGAGTAAAGAACCCACAAAATGCAGCATTTGGCCTCCTTGATATTTTCTACAAGGGGCACAAACACGTAAAGAAACCATTACCAACATTAAAGTCCCAGGTATATAGGAATAAAGCAGTGCTTTGGGCAAAGCAGCTCTTGTTGCATATACCATGAATGGCTGGCCTCAGTATAGCTAAGCTAGGGAAAGGAAACAGAAAAGCAGGTAGGATGGGTTAAAGAAAAGGTTTCCTGAGACAAATAAAACTGCAACTGACAACTGTATAAACTACAGGTTAACAATAGCAGTTAACAGAAAGATTTATTGTTCTGTAATTAGATATGGGGTAGTATTTTTGAAGGTAAGTGCTAGGTTGACTAGGAATCTAAGAAATCATGTTATAAACCATGACCGCTGTGACAAAAGAGAGAATTTTAACATGGCTGAGTGTAGAAAGGATTTTTTTAAAAGATTTATTTTATTTATTTGAGAAAGAGATAAAAAAGAGCAAGCATGAGCACAAGAGTGGGGGAAGGGGCAGAGGGAGAGAATATTCAACTCCCCTCTCTGAGCATGGGGCTGGAGGTGGGGCTCAATCCCACGACCCATGAGAGCATGACCTGCACCTAAACCAAATGTTGGATGCTTAACTGACTGAGCCACCCAGGTGCCCTGGAAAGGATTTTTAAACAAAAAATTTCCCCTTTTTACATCTGTATACGTAGCCAATGATAATGTAGTTTAGTGGCTAGTACTTTTAAATAACAATTAGAACAGAAGATTCAATGAAGAGTTAATCCCTACCTATAAAGTAGTGACTTTGTTGAAAGATGATCAATATATAAATATTAAAATAAAACAGATTCTCTGATAATCTGTGACATTATTTGTAGAATTTTATTTAGAAAGAGAACACATTTATTCTCCATCCAGGTAACTTACAACTTCTATTCTAGCTATATGGCTGTTTTTTAATACATTACTGGTGATTAAAAGAACAGGGCAAAGAAAAAAACTAACTGAGGTCAGAAGCTACATATCTGGGAAAATAAGCCTGATTGAGAAGCACCTGGAAGAAATAAAATCATATACTATGTCATACTATTTCTTACTAGATGCTGGAAAACAACAGAGGGCATTAAAGTGAGAGAGGGGCAAGAGTGATATAAATATTTATACAAATACATATTTAAAAAAGCATTTGGGGCACCTGGGTGGCTCAGTCGTCAAGCGTCTGCCTTCGGCTCAGGTCATGATCCCAGGGTCCTGGGATCGAGCCCCACATCGGGCTCCCTGCTCCGCAGGAAGCCTGCTTTTCCCTCTCCCGCTCCCCCTGCCTGTGTTCCCTCTCTTGCTGTGTCTCTGTCAAATAAATAATAAAATCTTTAAAAAATAATAAAAAAGCATTTAACCATCATTATTTTAAGAATCAAAAAATTATATTCCATATGTAAATCCTTATGATGAGCAGTTAGTTCACAGCGGTCAATATGTCAGCAGACATACTCTATCTACAAATCTATTTACAAATCCTCCCTAAATTTATGAAAATCTTAAACACAAATGTCCTCTGCTATACCACACATAGAGGAAGGCAGGGTCTCCTAGAAGCTCAAACTGAGATTTTCTTCCTGGATGTTTCAGATGACACTGTGTTCCTTTTGCAACACAGATAGCACATGTCTACAGAAAAATCCATTTGGGGCGCCTGGATGGCTCAGTTGTTAAGCGTCTGCCTTCGGCTCAGGTCATGGTCCCAGGGTCCTGGGATAGAGCCCCACATCAGGTTCCCTGCTCAGCGGGAGGCCTGCTTCTCCCTCTCCCACTCCCCCTGCTTGTGTTCCCTCTCTCGCTATAGCTGTCAGATAAATAAATAAAATCTTTAAAAAAAAAAAGAAAAAGAAAAATCCATTTTAAATGATTAATACTGTTGAATGAAGTCTGGATTGAGTGTTTGCTATCATCATCTGTAACATAATTTATATGACTGAAACCACTGTGAGTTCACAGAGTCCTGATTTAAAGAAGTCTTGAGATATAATCTGTATAAGCTTGTTTATACTCTCCTTTTCCTTGGTGTCGTCTGGATTTTATTCTACATGCACTGCGTGCTGGATTTTAAGTAAAGGAGTAAATGATCTGAGGTACCATTTTAGAGATCAATCCGGCTGTTGTGGTGGGAGCGAATGGAGGTTTCAAGAGACAAAGAGGTGTGCTGATAGGAGGTTTTTCCAACAGTGTAGGCAAAAGATGAGAGTGGACTGGATTAAAGGCAGTCATAGTAGGGAAAAAAAAAGAGGGAATAAGAAACAGGACTTGCAGATATTAGATGTGGTTATTAAAAGAGAGAAAAGCATCAAGAAGAGATCCACTGGGCGCCCGGGTGGCTCAGTCGTTGAGCGTCGGCCTTCGGCTCAGGTCATGATCCCGGGATCCTGGGATCGAGTCCCCATCGGTCTCCCTGCTCTGCGGGAAGCCTGCTTCTCCCTCTCCCACTCCCCCTGCTTGTGTTCCTGCTCCCGCTGTATCTCTCTCTGTCAAATAAATAAATAAATAAAATCTTAAAAAAAAAGAGAGAGATCAACTAAATTTTTGGTTTTAGGTATCTGGATGACTGGAGATATCATTTACTGAAGGGGGATAACAAGAGAAGAAACAGATTTTTGTTTTGAGAATGCGGGTTAGCTTGAGGGAAGACCCAAGATTCTCTTGGACACCCAAGAGAATATGCCAAGTAGGTGATTAGCTGAATATATATACGTCTGGAATGGTCAAGCCCAGAGATATAAACTGGAAGATCCTGGCACTAGAATGAATGTCAAGTAAGTAGGGACTCTAGTTTGTTTCTGTTTTGTTGTTCTTTTTAATGCCATGCCTAAAAGAATGCCTAGAACAGTATTTGCAAGTAGCAGGGGATTCAATAAATATCTGTTGAGTGAATAAATGAGTGGACATAAAAATGGAGAAGTTAAATGACGGTACGAACTTAAGACCTAGAGATTGCAGATGGAACTCTTAAAGGTTAAAACACACACACACACACACACACACACACACACACACACACACACGGCGTGGGGGAGACAATGAGCACAGGGGGAGGGGAAGAGTTTCAGCAAAGGAGACTGAGGAATGCTAGTGAAACGGGAGGAAAACCAGGACGCTATTATTCTAGCAAAGATGATAATATAAAAAAATGTTTCAAGAAGAGTGGTTACTCGGGTCAAAATGCTATTGAGGTTATGTATGAGGACAAAAATGTGAGAATAGTGTCACTGATGGTTTTCACAAGGGTTAGGGAACATAACCCATTCTAATAGGAAGGAAGATAGTGCAGGTACGGATGCAGATAGGGTGAAAGACTTTGTGGTGGGAAAAAGCAAAGTTCCCAATAGCCTCTATTTTCTCAAGGAATTGTGAAACAAGTGTCAGCCAAGAGTGACTCTTCAATAAATGCTCTGATGGGACTAAATAAGATGTTATGGGAGAACAGAGGGGGGATATCTATCTCCGTGTTGAGGTAGAGGGCAGGGGATGTTTAACAGATAAACAGGAATTTATAAGGAAAGGGTAGGCAGGAGAAGTAGGAAGAGCATCTCACACACAGGCAGTACGTCAGAGGCAAAGGAAAAGAGCACACTGTATCAAAAACTAATGATGTAATGTATGGTGATTAACATAATGAAATAAAATAAAACAAAATAAAATAAAATAAAATAAAAGGGAAAACAGCATGTTCAGGAAACAAAAAGGCAGGGCCCAAGAGGTCCAGGGAGGGAATAGCAAGAGATAAGGCTGGATAAGCAGGTACCAAAATCAAGAAGAGCCTTGTGTGCAGTACTAAGGAGACTGAAATTTGTCATGAGAATAATCAGCAGCCACTTGTAATATATATATTTATTTTGGTGGTCTTCAAATCAGTTTGGGGAAAATATTTGTAAATTTAATATACAAATACATTTAATATAAGATTAGGCCATTTATATATTAAATATTTTTAAGTTTATTTTTTTTAGTAATCTCTACAAACTAGGTGGGGCTAAACCTCAGAACCCTGAGATCAACACTCATGCTCTTCTCACTAAGCCAGGCAGGTGCCCCCATTTTTATATTTAATACATTTTTAAAATGGAGAGGCAGGATAGCTTAATGGATTAAGAGTACAAATATTAGACCCAGAACTCCTGTATTCAAACCCTAGCTATACTGTGTGGTGATTCTGTTGACTGTGGGCAAACTATGTAACCTGTGCTTCCCTGATTTTTTTTTTTTTTAAGATTTTATTTATTTATTTGACAGAGAGAGAGAGAGCACAAGCAGAGGGAGCGGCAGGGAGAGGGAGAGGGAAAAGCAGGCTTCCCGGCTGAGCAGGGAGCCCAATGCGGAGCTCGATCCCAGCACCCTGGGATCATGACCTGAGCCAAAGGCAGACGCTTAACTGACTGAGCCACCCAGGCACCCCTGCTTCCCTAATTTTAAATGGATGCTGTAATACTAAAGAAGAAAATAACAGCACCTTCTCAAAGGGCTGTTAAAATATTAGTTAACATGGTATTCTGTAAATGTTAGCTATTATTATTAAAGATACAATTTACCTGTTTTTTAATGGCATAATTTTCACCATCTTCAGCTTTCATTTTTTCGATCTTTTCTTCTTGTTGTTTTGCTTCTTTCTCATACATCATTTTTTCTTTGACCAATCTATAAATAAACCAAAAATGGTTCCAAGAATTAACTTTCTCTCTAGCAAACAGACCATGGGAAACAAAGAAAATGTAAATATAAAACATACTTAGAATACCAAAGTATGTGTACTAGACAGGGAGGAGGCAAGGAGGAAAGAAAAATACCTTGCCATAGATATAAGTCTGATCCTCAGGCCTGTAAGTCCTATACCTGTCTAAACCAAGTGTAATCTTCAAAGCATGAAATTCTTAAATTTTTAATTAAAAACATGTTTCACTATAATAATTGTATTTACAATGTAAAAACACACAAAATTATCATGTACTAACATTTGTCCTTTTAATTAATATATATTTTCCAAATTTTTATACATGTACTTGAAACATATTGGAAAAAGCTCAACTTACTGGAAAAAAAATCAGTATCTTGCATGCCAAATCACAAAGATAGATTACATTATTTTCAACAATAAAATTGTTTAACAAGTATTTACTATTCACTTAGTTTTATGCCTAACCTTCCTTGTGTGAGGGAGTGGGGTAGATAATTTAGACATGGTTCTCTTAGGGACAAACAGTGGAAATGAATATTTACTAAAGCAAGAAAAGATATTGATAAAGATCCGGGAGATTTTCAACAATAAATTGGAAGAGAGAAATACAAAGTCCTACTAATTATTCCTCAAATAACCAAAGTACAATTAATCATAACAGCTCAACCTCCTCTAATCCTGGTTTATAAGTTTTAATATAAAACAAAAATGTAGTTCAAGAAAACACTAACACTCACAATATCTAAATAGCAGAATAAAAAGCTTTCAGAGTTCATATATATTAAAAGCAGCTTTCTCCATCTGCCTCGCTTATTAATTTCTACACCTGTGTTTCTGGGATGGAATTTAAAAATATAAGAGAATGGCTTTTGTCCAATCATTTGCAATGACACTAAGATTTTTAAGTATATTTCAAAACAGGATTTAAAAAATATATGTATTTTACTTATTTATTTTAGAGAGTGTGTGCATGCCAAGGGAGGAACAGAGGGGGAAAGAATCTCAAGCACCACACAGGGCAATGAATATAAACAAGTAACAGAGGATACTCAAGAAACAAATAATAAGGGAAATAATAGTACTTGAGAAAGTACTATTTCTGGTTACCTGAGGAGACAAGCCCTAATGATCTGGGGTAGGAGAGGTCAGCTGAGGTCAGCTGGGAGTTAAACTTTTTTTTGAGCTTTTACATTTGAGTTTATTCTTCATTTGACTTTTAAAACATTCCTATAGCTGAATATTAATACAAAAAAACAATAGCAAGTAGTGAGTATGATTATAGTCCTTCACCCATTCACTACTACATATAAAATGCCAATAGTCAGTGTTATTCACTGGTCTCATTAAGAGGTCTGACATTGAACACCACCCCTAGGATGATGTTTATCATCCTCATTATGCTTCTCCATTGTAATGGTGCCATCTTTCCTGATTTGGATCAAAGTTCACCAGGTTTTTCAATTTTGAATAATTTTAAAGTTCGCCAATTATTCCTTTAGCAATATTTTCTAAATTTTTTGGAATAAAGGAAAATTCAATTAGAAAGACAACAAAATTTATCTAATAGTTGTAATTCTCTAAACATTGCTCTCTTCTGCAAGTTTTGCAAATGCTATTAGTTAAAATAACAAGTACAAATAGAAGTCATAATTTATTATATTTTAAAGGCATAATTACCTGAAAATATTTTCTACTAGTGTTAAATATTTTCTATTAGTAACAAACCCATACCCACAGAGAAACATAGCAATTTCAAAATCTGGTCACTTTCAGTAGTTAGACAAATACATGAGAGGAAATTACAAAAATAAGAGCAATAGAAAAGGAGAGACCTAAGGAGGAGAAAGGGGAAACGTTAAGAAATGACAATCAGGGGAGTGATAAATAACTTAAACTTTTAATTATATAGGTATGGCATTAATGTGATTTTTAAATATGTAGTCTGATGTTTTCCAAACTACTCCATGGTATACAAGTGGTCAAATAAGCTTAAAAAACACTGCTTGCTGGGGAACCTGGGTGGCTCAGCTGGTTAAGTTATCTGACTCTTGATTTTGGCTCAGGTCTTGATCTCACGGTTGTGAGACTGAGCCCGGCGTGGGGCTTTGCGCCGGCAAGGAGCCTGCTTAAGGTTCTCTCTCTCCTTCTCCTCTGCCCCCCACCAAAAAAAAAAACCAAAAAAAACCTCCAAAAAACAAAGAATGTGTATTCTTGTATTGCCAAATGGCGTATTCTATAAATGGCAATTAGATCCAGTGACTGGATGGTGTTGGTCAATTTTTTACATCCTTGCTGTATTTCTATTTGTTCTGTTACAAAGAGAAGAGTGCACATTCACGCTCTCTCTAAAAAATAAACCAAACCAAAACAAAACAAAAACAACACTGTGGGCCGAATATTAAAGATTTAGGATTTGTATTTGCATATTAAAAGATCCTGAGAAGTCCTGTAGTAAGAAAATCAGTTTATCTTTGTTCAACTGCAAGCTTATGTGAGGCAAAATAAAGACTTTTCTCCACTCAGCATTCTCCAGAACAGCTGTCCCTCAACAGAAGTCTGAGAAGTACACTGTAGAAATCCGTAAACTACACGAATTCGTATACAACACATTTAAACACACTGTTCATAAAATTCTAGATAGAACACAAGTTTTGGGTATATCAAGAATTTAGAGACCTTGAGATAAAAAAGTTTTAGCTTAATTTGTTTTGATTGTATAGTTTTTATTATAGTAATTAAGATTTTCACAATTATACCCCAACTTGTACTTGGGGCTGTCTAATAACTAATAGTCCAATACCAAGCAAAGGATACTGATGATAGGTCAATGTAATTAATGGTGCTAAGAAACCATAACTGATATTCAGAACAACATTCTGTTATGGATATTTTGAAACAAAAAAAATCTAGAGAAAATAGCATAGTAAATCCCATGCATTCTTCACTGAACACTAGTAATTAGTATTTTGACAGTCTTGTTTCACGTATCTCCTGCTACTTACTTATTAGTATCTTCAGACATAACATCTTTAGTTTGATTTTTGAGGTTAAAGCCTGTGATTTCTACCCCACCTCCCCACCTTACGCCAACCATATAAAAAAATTAACTCAAGATGGATCAAAGATCTAAAAGGCCAAAATTAGAAAACTTCTGGAAGAAAACATAGGGGTAAATCTTTATTTTTTTTTTTTAGGAGTATATCTTGATGACTCTGAATTTTCAGATATGACACCAAAACTGTAAGAAAAAGAAAGGAAAACAATAAATTGGCTTTTGTCAAAATTAAAAACTTTTGTGCTTCAAAGGACACTATTAGGAAAGTGAAAGAGACAACAGAATGGGAGAAAATATTTGAAAATCATATATAGAATAAGAAACATATCTAGAATCTATAAACAACTTATAATTCGATAATAAAAAGACAAATAGGGCGCCTGGGTGGCTCAGTTTTTTTTTTTTAAGATTTTTTTAAGATTTTATTTATTTATTTGAGAGAGAGAGAATGAGAGATAGAGAGCACGAGAGGGAAGAGGGTCAGAGGGAGAAGGAGACCCCCTGCTGAGCAGGGAGCCCGATGCGGGACTCGATCCTGGGACTCCAGGATCATGACCTGAGCCGAAGGCAGTCGCTTAACCAGCTGAGCCACCCAGGCGCCCATGGATGGCTCAGTTGTTAAGCGTCTGCCTTCGGCTCAGGTCATGATCCCAGGGTTCTGGGACTGAGTCCCGCATCGGGCTTCCTGCTCTGCGGGAAGCCCGCTTCTCCCTCTCCCACTCCCCCTGCTTGTGTTCCTGCTCTCACTGTCTCTCTCTGTCAAATAAATAAATAAAATCTTAAAAAAAAAAAAGACAAATAACCCAACTAAAAATGGATAAAGAGAATCTGAATAGACATTTCTCCCAAGAAAATATACAAATGCCCAATAAACACATGAAAAGATGCTCAACTTCGTTAGTTATCAGGGAAATGTACATTGAAACCACAGTGAGATATTACTTCAAACTCATTAGGATGACTATAATTAGAAAGTCAGGGAAATAAAAGTCAGATAATAACAAGTGTTGCTGACAAGGATGTGGAAAAAGTGAAACCATCAAACACTGCTGGTAGGAATGCAAACTGGTACACCTGCTTTGGAAGTTTAGCCATTCCTCAAAAAGTTCAACAGAGAGTTACCATATATACCAGTAATTCCATTCCTAAGTGTATACCCAAGAGAAATGAAAACATATGTCCACATAAAAACTTGTACATGAGTGTTCATAGCAGCATTATGCATAATAGGCAAAATGTGAAAACAACTCAAAAGCCCATCAACTGATGGACAAATAAAATATAATATACCTGTGTAAGAGAATAGTATTTAGCAATAAAAAGAAATAAGGAAGAGTAGGAGACCCTGGTTTCACCTGGTCTCAGGAATTCAGCTAGGTAGCTATCAAATCATTCTGAACACCCGCAAACTCAACCAGAGATCTAAGAAAATAATAGCTGCAACTCTACAAATAAAAAACCGACCACTTTCTCCAAGGTAGGAGGTGCGGAGAAGTGAATCTGAGGCAGTACATGGTAAGATAAGCCGCAGGAGGAGGGAGCCTACGTAAGCCGGCTACTGGAAAGCGATACAGCAGTGAAGTGCAAAATCAGAACTTTTAGAAGTCTGCTCCAGTGAGGGACATCCCTGCCTGAGAAATGGCCAGGTGGCAAAGTAGGCGGAATCCTAGGTGGGACAGTGTGGTCTCAGGATCCCCTGGGTCTCAGAAAGACTGGGGGTGCCTGAGTGTGGCCGAGCTCCCAGGCATCAGAGAAGTCGGCTGCAATCAACAAGCCCAGGAGTGGGCTCTGAGCTTGAGGTTGCCATAAACTGTGAACCCCAGCACAGGCAGGCAACTACTCTCTGAGCAGGGGCCCAGCAAGTGGCAGAATCAGCGAGAGCCCCCTTCCTACCTGTGGAGGAGATGC